GGTGCGATACCAGTATGGGTGAGGTAGATAGGATAATAAGGCTACCGAACTATGTATGTAGGAAGGAGGCATGATATAGTAGGAGATGCCTCCGCCAAGGCCCGCTAGCCATAGGGCTGAGGGGTGTGTCAAGGGTACGCTCGTAACAGCTATAGTATACTAAATGATATTATTAATAATAGAGACTCTATATTTATTAGTAGCTTCTAATTTACTATTTACTTTTATTCTAAAATTAAGTAGCGTCTAAGTATCGCCTTTTATTTATAAATTAATAAGTAGATTAAGTAATAAAATTAGGTGCTAGAATACTTTTTACGCGTATTCGCTAATAATAAATAAAATATTTAGACGAAATAACTATTAATAGTAGAGTTCGCTTATATAAATAGTTAATATTTCTTTATTAAAACGATATCGTTCTTTCTAATATATAGATATTATTCTAAAATTTATTAGAAAATCGAGAATAACTTTATTAAGAGGGAGATATTCGCTATAAATAATAGAATAAAGAAGTTATAAGTATTAAGGAATAAGATAATAAAGCGTTTTCGTAGCGTAATTGCGGCTTAATTTAAGTATTATAATAAAATATATTAATCTTAAAGCTATAAGATAGATAATTTAATAATATTAGCGATTAAGAATTTAAAGTAGAAATATTTAAGTAAGAAGTTATCTTATAAATTTATAAGATTATTTTAAATTATAAATAAGATAGAGGCGTAGATATATTATCTACTTCTATTCTCGACGTATAAAATTTATAATATCTTTTATATATTATTATTTAAGCTTTATTATCTTCGCGATTATAATAACGTAGCGAAAGTCTTTATATAAGCTCTTAATCTTATTAATAATAATAAGCTTTAAAAGATTAAAGAAATTATTAATAAGATTAAGTATAAAAAAGGTATTTAATATAAAATTAAATAAACTAGTTAAGGCGAAGAATATAATTAATAACTATTAAATAATAAACTTATTAATATTAGCGAGCTAATCTAAGTCTATAAATAGACGAATAGTAAGCGAAAGTATTAAGTAATAAATAATAAGTCTCTTATTACTAAAGAGCTTAATTAATTATATAAATTAACGGCGAGTAAGCGAAGATAATAAAATTAGATATAATTATTGACTAGATTAGATATATTTCTAGATAATACTTATATTACGCGTATACTTCTCTATACTTATTATTATTAAGATATAAATTAATAAAATAATTATATTATTTAATTATCTACTAAACTCTACTATAAAGAGAATTTATTGTATTAGAGTATATACTATTAATATAGATATATTTTTATCTAAGATAGCTATTAAAGAACTATTTAAAAACTCTACGCCAGCGCTACTATTAAAAAAAGGTCGCTACTTAAATATCTTTTATTATCTTAGCGTTAGATCTTAAATCGAGTTTATTAATCTAGTTCTCTAATGAGGAGGTAATTAAAGCATAGTCTTCGTATTAATATTCGTCGACGTTCGTCGTATATCGACGAAGGCTCTCGAGCTCCTTCTTTAATAACTTATTTATTTTCTTTAATTTCTCTATACGCTTATATATCGCTATAAACTAATCTTAAAGATTTATAATTATAATAAAGGCGATCGAAGTTATCGCTATTATATATTTTTATAACTTATATTACTAGATAATCTCTTTATCGAGCTTAGTTTATTAGTAAGATAGCTTTTAAGATTATTTAGCGCGATAATAGCGTTATATTAATTTTCTTATCTATATTTAAAGATATAGAAGAATTTTAATATAGTAACTAATATCGCGTTTTTTAGCCTTATAATTATCGTAGAGAGAAGACTTATCTTAAATATATAAATTATTATCTCGATAAAAGTAAGTCTTATATAATAAATTAGATATTAGAACTTATTAATAGATATATATATAAAGCGATAATAGTAAGAATAGTTAAGGGTTAATAGTCGCGTCTATAAGACGACTATATACTTACTATTAAAGTTATTATTATTATTAAAAAAGAATACTATAAAATTATTAGTCTACGTATTAATGCGATTAATAATAATAAGATACTTATAATAAAGAGAAGTAGACTACTAATATAATAAGATATACTATACTTACGTTAGTATTAATATCAACGTTATAGCGCTAGAGTAAGTACTTATAAGAGAAACGTTAGAAGTTACGAAGAATAAAAATAAATAATTTAAAAGAGGTTTTTATATTCTTTATCGTAGCGTTATTATTAGCGAATAGTACTTAATAACGTAAATAGTAATAACGCGGTAATATTTTGCTACTACCTATTAAACCGCGTTATCTAGCTATTATTATTATTTCTACTATTATTAATTAATAATTAAGAACGTTATCGCGAATATATCGCTCTATCGATTACTTTCTTCGAATTCTTATAATAAAGGTTATTACTATATTGCTTCGCTATAGATATAATACGTTATAAAAACGATGTTATCTATAAAGAAACTCTTCTCTCTTCTTTTATCTACTAGATTTTCGAGGTTTTATTATAAGTTTCTAAATCTAATATTATTCGCTATAGAGGCTATTAACTAGCGCTATAAAAACGCCTATACTAAGCGCGTCGACTTATTATAAATTATTATTAATTAATATTATAGAAGTAATATTATTCTCGAAGATAGTATTAATATTATTATATAATATATTAATAACGCGCCTACGGCGCGTAAGAATTAATTCTATCGCGTTATTAAAACGATATCGTAATCTTAATAGATTAACTCTTTTCTCTTATTTCTCTATTAAAATTTGAAGGTTTTTTAATAAACGTTCTATCTTTACTTAGACGCCTAAGAACTAAAGTCTAGAAGAAAAAGTAATTATTAGATCTAATACATTATAGACCTTAACGCTACTTATATTAAAACGTCGATATCGTATATACTACGTTAAGGTTTCTTTTAGAGTTTAATTTTAATAATATACTTCGTATGTCTAGGGGCTTAGCGAACATAGGTCTACTTCGTATACTTCGAAGTTTTAGTATTTCTTAGAGATTAATTCTACTATTAAATATACTATTAAATCTTATAACGATACTATATCTTTTATAGTCTATATCCGCTAGCTAATCGTTAGTAAACTACGCCCTTATATTCTTTATAGTCTTTCTTTACTACTAGTATTTCTCTAGCTATATTTTAAATAGAGATAACTCTTAAGAGTTAACTCTACTCTACTATTTATAAAATCTATAAACTTAGAGCTTACTCCTCTATAGAACTTAGTTACTATTTATATTTATATACTTCTTAATAAAAATAAGTCTTTTTATTAACGCGTCGATTAAGGGTAAAATAAGTAATATTATAATATAATATAATTAATAAAATAGTAGACTTCTTTTTATAAAAATCTTCGCTAAGCTTATAGACTATAAGAACTTAATTATACTTATTAATTGCGATATCTAGACGCACTTCTTTAAATAACTTCTTTAAAGCCTTTAAAGAAGTTATAATAAAGAGAAATATAGTCTACTCGCTATAGTAAAACTATAAATTAATAAGTTCTTCTCTTAGTCTTCTAAGTTATCTATTCAATAATTAATTAATACTAAGAATTATATAAATATATCTATTTTAGATTAAGAAGACTTATAGAAAGACTTATAGAAAGGCTTACTTATAGAGAGACTTATAGAGAGACTTATAGAGAGACTTATAGAAAGGCTTATATATATCTATTTTAGATAATAGAAGATACTTAGCTCATAATATTAATAGACGATCCGAAAGAAACTCGAATATAATATTTTTAAACGAATTAAATTTATTCGAAGTCTTTAAAGTAAATTTCAAGGCGTTATTTTTCTATATTTAGAAATCGATTATTTAAATCTTTATTATTTAATAATTACTTTATATTAATTCTATCGAGTATACTCCTCTAATTATCTTATTTCTAAAGGTCTTTTAAAGTAATACCGCGTTATTATCCGATCTTATCGTTATTATCTAGCCCTTTATAACGATTATATAAATATAATATCTTAAGAAGAAACTTATTTAATATTAATATAGAAATTAAAGACTGCGACTCGGTTTAGCTCGAGAGTATTCGAATTAATCAGAGCGGATTATTATACGATTTCTTCTTCGCTTGAAAATATAATATTAAATAGTCACCCTATAGCAAAACACGTTTACGGCTACTATTCCTTCATTTCTTTATTAAATCTCTTTAAGATCGAGGCCTTATAATGCTAAAATGCTAGGCATTAAAACTATTACGTAAGATATATCGTAATTTTCATCTTATATAACATTTTAGAGTATTAAAAAAGAAGTTTAAAAGTCTATTTAAGAGTAAATTAGTAGAGATCTAGTAAATTTTAGATATATATAAGCGAATATTAGCTGTAAATTAGAATAAACTATATACTTATAGTATAAACTCTTATAATTACGAGAAATCAAATATTAAGTTATTATTTTTTCATTATTTTCGAAGGGTTTTAATAGATTTAAACTTACTTATAATAAGATATAGCGTAGTCCGTAGCTAGTTACTAGTTATGAAATTTATAGTATTTTTAATAAGTATTCTACTATACTATAAGGCCTAAATAGAATATCGAATACTACTTAGATACATATGTCGCTAGAATAAAAATAGGCTATATCTGAGTTCGGGGCAGGGATATCTATTATGCTAGGCCTATAAGTGGCGATTATAATATTATAGCATTAACTATTATAATAGAATATGATAGTAGGCCATTTAAATAAGTGATAGTGGTAGCAATAATAGTGGTAGCCAGCTACGTCGGATTTACCGGATTTAAAAATTCCGTATTTCCTAGTATTGTGCGTTTCCTCATGAAACTAAGTATTCCTCGCCTCATTACAAGTGATAGCGGGATCGCTAACGACGACAACGATATCTCGACGACATCGCGTCTTATTTTGATATGGCGTCTATATAAATATAGCGTAGCCACCCTAAAAATATGTTAACGGTATTTTATTTAGCATTGGCTAAGGTATAGAAGCACCCCACCAAGATATCAGATGAACCTCACTACGATCACCACTCCTTCCTACGACTTTCCAAACAGCGCACCAGCAATCATTTCGCCGGCCTCCAATACCTCAGCTTCAAAACAGCCACAGTCTAGCAACATGACAGTTTCACAGTCTACATTAGCATCGCAGAGGTCGAGGAAAAAAAGAAGGGCATACTGATTGCCATGAGTTCTACAAGAACGAACCACCGAAAGAGATCACTATCATAAGTAACGACTCACCACAGCCGCCATCTTGGAAAGGGAACGAGCGACCTCAGCAGCAACAGCCACAAGCAACAGTGAGAGGTTCACAACATGCCAACAAGAAGAGGACTAGTCAGACAGCTGCACACGATACTGCAAGGGACCAACAGGCATTCTTCCATACCCGCACATACTCGAATGAGAACATTGAGTCCAACACTATCTTGATGGATCGAACCACATCACTACAGACTACGGCACCTACATCACTGGGGCCACATTCGATTCATGGGACCAGTGGTGCGCACGACGGGAATAGTGCGGTTGGGCAGAAGAGGAAACGCGTGACTCAGCAACCGATTCGTGATGAGATGGAAAAGAGGAAGAAGATCAAGAAGAAGTTGAAGGAAGAGAAGATTAAGGTGGTGGGAGACGCCCACAGTTCCTCTATACCGCCACCGAAGCCCCACGTAAAGGCTGGAGATATCAATGTGCGTTCGATCAAAGATGTAAGGCCTTTGTCGTACAGATAGCAATCTGAAAGCTGACTTTGCAAAAGACTGCGACTGTGAACGGGGAGACCGACGATGCTGAAGGCTATTACAGGGTAACGGAGGAGAATAGGCGCATAGGTGACAGATGTGAGTGCCTTTTTAGAAATGGACTGCCATTGCACGGCCGAGTGATGACTGTTTGCAGACTGTATCGGCAGACCTCTGGGCATGGGCACCTCCGGCGAAGTCCATGAAGCCTTTGACAAGCAGACAAAATCGAAGTGTGCAATCAAGATCACTCGAGTTCAGGATGAGGCCCGCGATGAACTGCGGGTGCTACAGACTTTGTACCTTAACGACGAACAGAATCAGAACAAATGCATCCACCTACGTGACTGTTTCGAATTCTGCAACCACATCTGCATAGTCACCGATGTTCTAGGCAAGAGCCTCTCCGACTTTCTCAAGGATAACGAATCTATGACCTTCCCAAGCAGTCACATACAGAGCTTTGCTCGGCAGCTATTTGTCAGCGTTGCGTATATGTCACCTCTCCTACCTTGGTTGCGGTCCAACTAATATTGCGCTTCAGTCTTACACGACCTTAATATAATACACACCGATCTAAAGCCGCAAAACATCCTCCTCGTCGATCACTCATATCAAAAACCCAACAACGAGATCAGACCTATTGACTTTGGGTCGGCAACTTTCGAGAACGAACAACACGACCCGCTCATAACTACAAGGCCATATCGCGCGCCGGAGATTATAAAGGCTTGGCAGCGATAGAGGTGGCTGAAACGGCGTACTGCGCAGCGCAAAGGCCGCATAATCTGTACCTCTTGATTGCGTGCGTACATACGCAGAGTGGTGTGAAGCTATTCAAAGTCTTCGGTGACCGTTGTAGTGAAAGGTTGCAACCTCTACGGAGTATAAGCTTGGTGGCTTGGGAGCTTGGTTCGCGTCGTCGTTTGCAACTTTAAGCGGCAACCGCGCTAGTAGGGTTCGTGTTTTGGACAGGGGTACTCGTGGGCAAACAAAGATAGTAACACACTCCTTTTATGATGCGGTTCTCGATACTTTGATGCAATGACCGCACACCCTTGACCCTGAGATACTTCAAATAAACATTGCCAATATCATCGTATTCACCTCGAGTATCATCCTACTGGAGGCCAAGCTCCCATCTTCTTTGACATGACTGCGAATTGACGCCCTGCAAGCTCTTCTTGCGACAACAAAGCAATCATAACAACCATGCCTTCGTAAGCTCTATTCCCTTCCCTTTTCGTCTACAAAGCCTTTGCCTTACTGATCTGTAGCCCGGATAGGTTTGGAGGAATGTTCCGCTCTTTTTGGCATACAATGATCTCCAGTGACCGCCATGCGTCCCACGACTCTCCCTACCGCACGGGCCAGCATATGCCTCTTAACCAAAGCCGTCATGCTCCCCTTACATCAGTGGCCACCAGCGCCCTAGAATCTCGTCCAGACCTGAGCTCACCGTACGGCGATGATACCTCCGCGCAATTTACACCAGCTCTACAAAACGGCGACGCACGCGCACCAGGCAGTCCTGGCGCGGGTCCTCTTCAGTCACCCACTTCTCCTTACTTGCCTGGCATGCGGTCAAACATGGCATTAAAACGACAACAATCAAACGAACCCAATCCTTTCGACAGCGTAACACCGGGAGAAATACAAATGCAAAGCTTCCAAGAAGGCCTCCCCCCACCCCCACCAGCAGCCCATTCTTGGAAAAAGATTGATCGATGGGCTGAGGAGAATTACGAAGAACTCTACGACCAGCTCTCTGAAGGATGCACTCAGAATGATGTCAACGAGCTTGAGCATGAGCTTGACTGCTCTTTACCCATGGAAGTACGCGAATCTCTACAAGTACATGATGGGCAAGAGAGAGGTGGGAGACCCACTGGCATTATCTTCGGCTGCATGCTTCTCGACTGTGAGGAGATTGTTCAAGAGTGGAAGAATTGGCGGGTAGTCAATGAGGAATATCTCACAAGCCCGTCAACCAATCAGACGCAGTTCCCGCCAAAAGCCTTCGGTGGAGCATCCTCATCCTCGGTTTCAGCACCAGTTCCAGTTTCACAACAAGCAACCAACCCGTTTTGGCGACAAGAGCTCCTCGACAAACAAGACTCACAGCCATCTAGAGCTATTCAAAAAGCTTACGCCCATCCCGGATGGATTCCATTGGCTCGTGATTGGGGCGGTAATAACCTTGCGGTCGATCTTGCGCCCGGACCCGTTGGGAAATGGGGTCAGATCATCATCTTCGGCCGAGACTACGACTGCAAGTATGTTGTTGCTCGATCATGGGCCGCTTTTCTCGCAACAGTAGCAGATGACATGAGTAGTGAAAAGGTTTTTGTCGACGAGGAGACACAGGAGCTTAAGCTTCGGGAATTCAAGACCGCCACTGTCGAGCCAGCATATCTGAATATACTGCGCTGGAGAATGGATCAGAAGTATGGTCGAAAGGGCCCTCGAAGAAGGCCGGGTTCTGGACCAGGTACCAACGCCAATGGCACCGCTAATACTGGATCTCCGTACGGAAGTCCGACTGAAGAAAGAGGACGCTCACCACAAAGGTTTCCTCATCGTGGGCCGACCCATACTCAAAGTCCCCGTGGCGCTGTTGGAAAACCCAGCCCTCTGGCTCAAGTGACAGAAGAGAATGCAGCACCAAAGATTCACACTGGCGGTGACGCCAATAGAGATATCTTTGCTCAGAACACTGCAGCTAGCGAGCGCAATGGGAATCTAGTCGAGATTGGAAGTCCTACTGGCCCAAACGACGGCTATAAACAAGCGCCTCTGGGCCAAGCGATGGAGGCCGACATGTCTGGTGTGCTAAGCAACGCGACGAACAAAGACATACAGACCAAGTCAGCGCTAAAAGGCCTTGGGGTTGATGGTGTCGATGACATGAAAAGCGTTGAAATCTGAGCTCCAGGCCGCCACCACGGAAGATATACTATCCCCCATCCCAGGACGCAGGAATTTGGACATGGCAACAAAAGTTTGCGCATATTTAGGCAACAACCGGCGTCGTTCAACACTTGATCCAAATGAAGGTTCAGCCATGGTTTGGAAAAAACCGAGCGTCTCGCATTACAGTTGCGCAGATTGCGCAAGACGAGGGCTCTCTGCACGCTTGAGGTTCACGGCCCCCCATTTCTTTTGTATCATTACGTACACATCATGTTGAGTCGAATGGTGACGACTTCGAGCGCGAGAATTCCATGGCTGGTTCGCTCAAGGAAGGATAGAAGGGCTTGAGCATGTGTCAGTTTACGGATGTGTTTGCATACGCAATACAGTAGAATTTTATCGATTCTCTATGGCTTGGATTTGGAGGCTCTCAGTAGTACTGATATTGTTGCACAGTGTGTCAATGAACGAGTATGGCGTGCAAGCAGAACAGCGCGTCGATGTGTCCGCTGAAGACTCTGGAAAGGTCACCTCCATACTCAGCCCTTCTACCTTCTCAGCCACTATTGTATCACTACTCCTCCAGTCTCCACACCAGGCCAAAGCTCAGCTTCTGTATATGCATGCTCATACTTCTTCATACATCTTGCTCCCTGCCAACAAGCCTGCCACGCAGATCCATCTGCGAGAACCAGGACTTGAGAAGGCTTCCGCTTCAGCGTTGCTTCCATCACGCTTAGCTGCCAATGCACAGCGTGTAGTGTGATCCGAGCCATACTCGACATTTGCCTCATCCGTCGACACGGCCTTCACTACTCTTTCTTCGCATCGCCCTCAATCCCATTCGTCGTCGTCGTCTTCATCACCATTCCCACCAATCCTTTGCTTTTTATGACTCTTATTCAAGACCTCGCCCACCCTAGCATCCCCAGCTCCTTTCACCTTCTCCAGAACCCCGGCGCCCACCAACCTCTTTTCCAGATCCCCCGTCTTGAACGTGTCCTCGCTATAACCGACCCCTTCAAACCCAACGATGCGATCCGCACTCACACCAGCGACGAAGGCGATCACACAGGGCAGGACCTTGACGTTCAATTTTGTAACCAGGAATGGCGCATGCTCGACATCGATTCGCACGAACCTGGTCGAGAGGTGGACGGGAGCGAGGGCGGAAAGGTGACCATCCATGATCCTGCAGCGGTTGAAATCTGGTTTGTAGAAGTGCACGACACAGTATTCCGTGGAAGTCGTGATTTCCATGAGACGTTTCTCGTCTTTGATTTGGTCATAGCTACCGAAGCCTTCGCTGCGCAGTCGTTTGGATTCCTTGAGCTCCGAGGCCAGTTGCTGGATGCGGGCTTCACGGAGATGGGCGAGCGAGGGGTCGTTTTCCGTGTCGTTTTCGAGGGATTCGAGGAGGGCGTCTTCGTCGTCCGAGGCGGTCATGTTGGCTTTTGGAGCAGGTGTTAGGGCGGATGGGCTCGGGAGCTGGTTATTTTGTTCCAGAGACCATCTGCCTACTGCTTTGGGAACACACCCTATTCTAGCAATCCAAGCCACTGTGCATCAACACCCAGTCTCCCAGTGCACCGCCCTAGACTCGCGAGATGTTTCTGCCAAGCAATACGAAATGCATCCCGAAATCTCCCCTATTAGCTCAGGTTCTGAAGCTCACCCGTTCGATCCAGGTAAGTCGCCCAAAAAAAAGAAAATTATTGGGGGGTACGAGTACATTTCTGATGGCTTGTCGCGCCAAGCACACAGGGCTGATGTGGACCCCTTGCCTTAGTCCTTTTTAGCGTTTCGTACTGTAGCCCGTAAAAGCCACCAGCAACATAATTTTCAAGGTTCCACAACATATCACCGACACAGATCAGCATCCAAAGACATTCGTCGGGAGCTTGGCTGTCATTATAAACAACAGCCTTTGCTGACACATTATCGTTTCGACACTTTGAACCCTCTGCGCCAATACTCGACTGAACAGAAGCTCGCGTACCCTCCATTCGTCAACCTCAGCAGCCATCTCTCCTCAATTCCGACGCCTGCCGGCAAGCAGCCATGGCCGACTTCAAGAAGAGGGATGACACGGTCATCGATATGGACGAGAAAACGGAGCGCGGCTACCATTCACCGCCAAGGTCTCCTGGTCCCAAGACTCCTACGGGAGGAGCAGCGCCGATTGCAGCAGTTGCGAACAATCCTGTGTTTCCCGTCCTCAGCTACTGTGCTTCCTCAATCCTGATGACTGTAACGAACAAGTTCGTGCTTTCGGGGTCGTTCAATTTGAACTTCTTTCTGCTTTGCGTTCAAGTGAGTGGCAGCATGGGAGGGTTTGGGGAGACGTTGTGCTGATGGGTACTTAGTCTGTGGTTTGCGTGATTGCTATTCAGACTTGTAAAACTTTTGGAGTTATTACGTATCGAGACTTCAATTCCGACGAGGCCAGGAAATGTGGGCTCTCCCAGGTGTCAGGTCTGGCATATCAGCAATTGACAGCTTTCTAGGGTTTCCGGTATCCCTGTCACTCATTGTGATGATATACACCAGCACCAAGGCACTCCAATTTCTATCAATTCCCGTCTACACCATCTTCAAGAACTTGACCATCATCCTCATTGCCTATGGTGAGGTGCTATGGTTCGGCGGCTCCGTCACCGGAATGTCTCTCTTCTCTTTTGGCTTGATGGTTCTTAGCTCGGTCATTGCGGCTTGGGCAGATATCCAACACGCGCTGCAAAACTTTGGGCACGCAAGCGACGAAGCTTCCGCGAGGATCTCAACGCTCAATGCTGGATACATGTGGATGATGTTGAATTGTATTTGCAGCGCAGCCTATGTGCTTGGTATGCGAAAGCGGATCAAATTGACGAACTTCAAAGATTTTGACAGTATGGGACATTCCACATCCGTTGTGCCCCAGTTGCTAATTTGATTCGCAGCTATGTTCTACAACAACGTCCTCTCAATTCCCATCCTCTTCCTCGCTTCCGTCTTCATCGAAAATTGGTCTTCCGAGAACGTGGCGAAAAATTTCCCAGTTGAGTCGCGCAACAACATCATTGCAGCCATGGTATTCTCCGGTCTTTCCTCAGTTTTCATCTCATACACCTCGGCTTGGTGTGTTCGCGTCACTTCGTCGACCACATACTCCATGGTCGGCGCTCTCAACAAATTGCCTATTGCGCTCAGCGGCCTTATATTCTTTGACGCCCCACTCACAATTCCATCTGTCTCTGCTATCGCTGTCGGGTTCATTAGCGGCATCGTGTATGCGCTCGCAAAGGTCAAGCAATCGGCGAAAGCCAAGATGGGAGGGGGACTACCGACTACCAACCCAGCGCCAATGAGTGCGAGCATGCAGAGCGCTAGGGACTCATTCAAATCTTAAGTCGACCTGTCCAAGTACCGCGGACGACTAATGCGGGAGTGTACGAAGAGCAAAAGGTGGTTTTAAGAGAATATTCAAGGAGCAGGGCGTTGGGTGTAAAATTGATATTTGATGACCAGAGCTGCTGGATAGCTATCCTTCATACGCATTGGCCGATGCCTGGTTATTTACATTGTGACAAGGGAGTCTCTGGTATACGGTGAATGCTCCTATTCAGTGTATCTATTAAAGATGTTTCAAGGCATCTTTCAAATTAGAATAATAGAATTGACCAGTTTGCAATTTTCCGGTCTTACTAGGTGTAGACAAATCTACCTCTAGATGAGTAGACTCTTAGACGCTCAAAAGGGACAGCTCTAAGCCTCTATATTGAAGCGAGATATATAAAGTCTTGGCGCTCAAGAGCTAGAATTTAGAAGTTGCCTTCCTTCCCGTTCACTTCAACAACCCTCGTCGTCTACTCTCAATCACAGAGGATCTATCATGGGTGCAGATATAGCATACTCCACCGCTCTTCGATAGCATGAGTAGCCTTCAACGTACGTGCAAGCCTTTTCATCTCCGAGCGGAGTGACTGACACCACTCCAGATGCTACTCCGCAGGTCCCACCACAGCAGTCCTCGTGAGCTCTTAGAACACCGAATAAAGGCTACAGTTTGCTGATATGTCCTCAGTCTTTCATTCACACAAGGTTTCCTACTCGGCCAACTTTCCGTCGTGATCTTGATCGGCTGCTTCATCAAATTCTTCATCTTCGGCGACCCCCCTTCCCCCGAAACCACAGCCTCAGCACGCGCCCTCGCACGTCGAGATCGCAGCCGCTCCGTCTCTCACACTTCCTCCTCGTCCAGCCCCCACAAGCTCAACAGCCAACGCTCCGCCTCCCACGTCCTACGGCCTCCGCCGAGACTGACGACCGCTACGATTCTCTCGAAGACGTATTACAATGTCGATTCCCACCAACAGGAGAGTCTGGATTGGTTTAACGTCCTGATTGCGCAGACGATCGCGCAGTTCAGGAATGATGCGCATGACGACGACGCGATTTTGGAATCTTTGACCGGGATTCTGAATGGGCAGCAGAAACCGGGCTTTTTGTCGGATATCAAAGTTACGGAGATCAGTCTGGGGGAGGAGTTCCCGATCCTGAGCAATTGTCGGGTGCATCCCGTGGATGATGGTGATACGAATGGGCCTGAGGGGCCGAGGTTGCAGGCGAGGATGGATGTGGATTTGAGCGATTTTATTACGTTGGGGGTCGAGACGAAGATTATACTCAACTATCCTAAGCCGCTCACCGCCGTCTTGCCCGTTGCGCTGGCCGTTTCGGTCGTCCGCTTCTCAGGCACACTGTCAATATCCTTCCTGCCCTCGCATTCTACGCCCGCCAGCACTCCGTCCGGCGCACCGCACCAGCCACCTTCGATCACACCTACGACCCTCGCTTTCTCGTTCCTCCCAGACTACCGCCTCGATCTAAGCGTGCGCTCTCTAGTCGGCTCACGATCCCGCCTACAGGACATCCCCAAAATCGCACAACTAGTCGAGAGCAGACTGCACGCCTGGATCGACGAGCGCTGCGTTGAGCCAAGGGTGCAGCAAGTCGTCCTGCCAAGTCTATGGCCGAGAAAAAGGAACACGCGGGGTCCTGGATCCGCGGACGATGAGGAAGCCGTGCCGAAGGAAGTCATGAGGGACGTGAGGGAGGAGGCTAGGAAAGAGGTAGAAGAGGAGAGAAGGAGAGACGGGGAGAGAAGAGAAAGGGAGGAAGGGAGCGGTGGAGCGGTCGATGCTAGTGGGTTTGAAGAGGGACTGCGGTGGAGGAATAGGACATATGAGAATATGCCAGGGAGCATGCCTGGCATGATGGTGAATTGACGGTGGAGTTTGGAAATGTGTATGGGAGGATGGCATCTTTGGTGTGCTAGGAAGTAAGCAGGAGAGATCAAGGGCTACGTAAGTACGGCATTGTATACAAAGGATATACATGGAGTCGTCGGGTATCAGCACTATATTTCCAGGTGAAATCCAGCAGCGGGTCCGAGACCCATCAGGACGCCCCCGTTCCATTGGACGACTCGACACCATCTTTCGGTATCCCAAGTAAGCCCAAACCTTGATTGATCCTACCTTTCTTTTCCCTTTGTACATTCCTCATAACTCCATGTCCGATCCCAATTTTTAACACCCCAGCCCAACTCAGCCGAACACCTTTCCTCAGACAGCGTGACCAGGATGCCGAACAGGCCGTTCCAAATCCTGTTCCCAAATCGGTTGGATGAGGATCTGCGCAGATTTCGGAGTCAGCATTGCTTATTTTCGAGGTGGGAATTGGAGTTGCGAGACAGGTTTATGGAGTTGAACGTCTTCTTGCTCTCGAAACATGTCTAGCGACCCACCTTCAACACCAAATAGGAAGAATCAGCTCCGAGATGTAGGTACCATAGAGTCTATTGTTACATTGGAGGCACAGGTGGCTGTAAGGTAGGCATTGCCGTTGATGCACTTGGCGCCAGGGTACGCTTTGGACCAGGCCGCTTTGATGGGAAGGCATTGGGAGATGGTGGCGAAGACGGAAGCGGGACACCAGCATACGACGATACCCATACCCATAACGACCCAGACGCGGACACCGAAAAGTCATTGGTAGAAGAAGAGGATGGAGAGCTTGATTGGAGTTATTGTCACGGCGTAGGGGATTTTGTAGCAGACAATGGTCTTGGGCTGTTGTCATCTCCACCTTGAAGGAGGATGGTGAGGGGCTCACCTGGGAAAGCATTGTGAGATCGCTTGCTTCGATGCTTTGGAAATGATGGCCAACGCCATGTTGAGCATCTGTACCAATCAATAAAGTGGACAGAAGGGAGGACTAGAACGCACCGACGAAGACCACTGCAGAAGCGCCGTAGGATGCAAGCTGTGATTTGTCAGGACAGAGATGGCACCAATCATGCTCCATTTTCAAGAGATCGTACCAGAGCAAGTATCATGACAAAGTCGCTGGATTACAACATCGCTGTCAGAATTGCGTATTCGAGGGGGTTTGTCGAACCACGAAAGACATTTCGAGATTTAAGACCGGCAGGACATGCCTTAAGGCCCAACACTTGGGCCCGAAGAGGAATATGGACTCGGAAACTACGTACTCCCAGCAAAGACTCGCTGACCCCAATTTTCTTGACATCGGTCGCAAGATTAGTGCTACCGTAGCAGAACGAGAAGGGCAGCATCGGCTCCATTGACTTGGGGAACAATGCTACCGCACACGGGCCTCCTTTTCATCTGGGGCGTATGTCGTCGTCTCAACCGTAGACATCTTCGCAACTAGTCTCGCAGGCTTGCCTGGAGATCACGACAGCAGCAGCGGAACCGATTGAAGTGGTGATTCCAGTAAAGGGAGAAAATCCACGAGAGATGGAGAACGCTCAAGCAAGATGGCAGAAAGCAGTGTATGATCTCGAAATACAGACCAATAAGAGTGGAGAGATGAATGACAAAGTGTTCCTAATCGTTCGCTTCCGGACGAAGAGGGGTCATGCAACGAAGAGGGGAGAAGGAGGAGGTAGTTGACGCACACCATCACCGTCTACTAGCAAACCTGGGTGATAATTGAAAACAATACTTCCAACTTGACACAGACTCTAGAGATCAACAGGGCCATTGCAGGTTGTGGAGAGCATGCAGCTAGCCTCGTGCTGGCATACGAGAGATCCAGCACGAGGTGGAAAAGTAAAGCAAGATACTTATGGCATCTGAGATTACCTATGCTTCGTTCACCACTGCACCTGAATATTCCGGCCGATAATACGACAATCGACAATTTTCCGGACACCTTTGGCCAATGAGAATGTCGCAAAATTAGCAGCCAAGGGAAAATACATTGAACAGATGGATTGCCATTTTGTCACTGAAAACTCTGCTGGTATGGAATATGAGGAAAAGAAGGACAATCAACATCTCTGCGCGTCAGACTCAGATGCCAAGCATTTTGAGCATGACTAAGCTAGCGTGGAGCCTTTCTATTCCATCTCCATCATAGTGGAACAGGCCTTCTCAGCTCACAGCGACATGTTCCCAGCAATCTGCATAACGCACCGCATGACTGGCATGAACCCGATCGCAAATCCAGGCAATTGGGACAAAGCATGGGCTAGGTGCCGTTGTTGATACTCGAGATACTCTACCAGCCCCTCGCAGTAGTGGCGGGTCAGTGCCAGGTACGAGTACCGTGAGTACCTCCTCGAGAGCTGGTTCGAGAACTCTTCCTTCTCGGCGCCGAAATCTCACTTATTCCAAGCTACAGGTCAGAGTTCACTCTTTCTCTTTTCGTCATCACATGTACATGTAGTCTGTCTCCATTACTATGACTGCTCTCTTTGACTTTATGCCTATTTACACTTGCGTCTTCTGTATGGCCCCAATCACTTCCCACTGTAGACCTAGACTATGAGGTCCACCAGGCGATTGCATTCAACGTAGTTATCAACCCACGATTACAAGCAATTCCCTCCGGCATGCATACTGACAGCCCCAAGACTTCCGGCGGCTACTATAAGTTCTTGAACATCCAATACGGCGAGCCTCCTATAGGCGACCTTCGAATTACCAGGTCGATCCCTCATCAGACGAAGCGCTCTGTTATCAACATTGGCAGCTTGGAATGTGTCTGCCCACAGTCCAATCCTTTCTGGCTGGCGGTAGGCGGCCGGTGGCTATCACACTACGAAAATAGTACCACATTCCCCTTTGAGCAAACCAGCGAGACATTATTGACGAGTAAATACTCGGCGTTGGTTCTCCCCGAGCCCGAGGATCCTAGGATCTCAGAAGATTGTCTCTACTTGGACGTGATGGTGCCGCAGAAGATTTTTGATGGTGCTCCCAATCCAACCCGCTCCAAGAACTCAAGCGGTGCGTCTCTTTTTGTCTGGATCTATGGAGGCGGATACACTTCCGGCTCCAAAGAGGGTGTCGGAAATCCAGCTGGTTTAATCAAGGTGGCCGGTATGGCTAATGGTGAAGGCGTGGTTTATGTGGCTATGAATTACCGCGTAAGTTCAAGACCGACTGTATGGCATCAACTTACACAAAATAGCTCGGCGCATTTGGCGGGATATCTGGACCAAGTCTATCAGCCAGCCAAAGCTTAGCGTTACAATGGGTACAGGAAAACATCCACCTTTTCGGCAGCGACCCGAACCGAGTCACAGTAATGGGGGACTCGGCCGGCGCAGGCTCCGTCGTGTTCCAAATAACAGCCTATGGGGGCACCAAGGACCCGTACTGTTCTAACAATCCATAACTCAAAGCCCGGCAGTCCTCACGGACCTCCCGGTACAATACCGACAAGGGGCTTTCCAGCAATTTTTACAACTGTGCAATGTCTCCACCCTGCAAGAAGCTCGCCAAATGGGACACGGCCTCTCTGAATAGAGGCAACAACCTCTGGATCGGCTACGGTGACCACTACGGCGGTTTCATCGCCGGCCTAGTCTTCGACGGCGACTTCGTCCCTGATCTACCTGGCCGCCTCCTCTTCAAAGGTCGTTTCAATAAAACAATCAAGAAAACGAACGGCCATGACACGAACGAAGGTATTCTTTCCACATTACCTACTGTAAACTCCACAGCCTCCTTCACCAGCCTTGTCGAGCTTTAACTGCCCAGCGTGAACAGCAGCATAGTCTCTTACATCACCGACGTGCTCTACCCCCCAGTTCTCGATGGTAGCTTACCCTACAATGACCAATGGAATCGCGGCATCACCTTCGCCAGCGAAGCAATAATTATATGTAATACCAACTACTTGACCGCGCCTTCAACAATCAAACCCACGGCTAAATGTTTTTCGTCCCCCCCAGCCTTCCACGCAAACGACACGGCATACACCTTCTACAACGACCCTGGCTCCAACTATAGCTACGGCACTTACAACGCGACTATCGCGCAAGCGACGCAGCAGCACGTCACCTCCTTCGTGGGAACAGGAATCCAAAGCGGCGGTTCCGCGTTCAACGACATCCCTACCTATGGCAATGGCACCATTCTCAACCTCAACAACACCGGCCTACCTTTCCAGCCGATCCCAGACCCAGACGCCACGAATCGATGTCTCTTTTTCCAACGGGCGCCGTTCGAGAACTCGACGGCTGGGGATGCGCTCAGTGCGTTCTATGCCGACGGCACGAGCGGGAGCAATGGCACAAAGGGGAGTGGCGACTCCATCGTAGGAATTGACGGTGGAACATTGGGGCCGGGAGTGCAGACAGCTTCGATTTCATCGAGTGAAGATTTGAGCGTGGGCGCTGTGGGGTTGGTGAAGGTGGTGGAGACGGCGTTGGGTGCGATTGCTACGGTTGCTGGGTGGCTGCTGTAGGAGTAGGAACAGTCAGGTGGATGTATATAGTATATGTAAGATATGTGTATGTGTATGTGTATGTGTATATATGTAGAATAGAGAGAGAAATGTTTATATCATAGAACGTATTTACCAATGTATACAACATCCATCGTCCTAGGTCCTTCGAATCTGCGCGTCCATTCGTGTCTTCTGAGAACAATCTGTCTTAATGAATATCACCGGAAACGATCTGGGTTGGAATTGTACTTCAGCGTGTATATATAAGCGTCATTGCCACCCTCCCCAAAAATACTTAACTATCCTTCTCATCGCTCCCCCCTCATTACCGACACAGCAAGATAGAACCCTTCAGACCTCCTCCAGCCAACCAATCACATCTACACAACGCCTCCTACTCCCTCTCTCTCCCTCTCTCTCTCTCTCTCCTCTCTCTCTCTCTCTCTCTCTCTCTCTCTCTCTCTCTCAAGCTCTGCACCTAAACCGCCCTTGAATAGCCATGAGTAAGAACAAGAAGAAACATCCATCCATGGTGGCATATAGCTCGCTCCATGGGCAACCTCACCGAACCAAATCGTAACTTCGCCTATTTTAAAGAAGATCGCGAATGTTAAATAAAAGGCGGTATAGATAATAGCTCCCTTCTTAGTAAACCAAGTCTTCTTCCCGGGCCCAGTGAGTCCGTACTTGTATCGTCCAACGGCGTGACCTTGTCGGGGAGCCGGAGGATAGAGTGTGGGGACTTGGCACGTATGTTCTTGGTTCTGTGTTTGGCGAAGGTATGGCAGGGATGTGGCTTGTGAGCCGGGAGGAGGATGTGAGGGATCTGTGGGGGGGGGGGGGAGGAGGACGACGACGACGAGAAGAAGAGGTAAACGGAGCGAATGAAATGGATAACGGAGGGTTCTTTGGACTGTTGTGTCTTTGAAACGTGTTGCAATAAACGTTACGTAATAGATTGTAGGTTTACATAGTATGTCAGAATCATTCCAGATGGAATGGAAGGCATAGAACTTTCGACTACATAGCTCTAGTACGTCTTTGTATCCTGTCAAGACGGGCAACGCTTTTCTGTCCATCGAGACCTAGGTTGAGCAGCTAGGTGGTTTTGCTCCCGAGGGATGACTGTGCAATGAATGGGTAAGCACGCAGACCACCTCGCACATGCGAGGCTTGTAGTATGTCACACTCCGAGTAAAGGATCCGAAGGACTCATCGCCATGGACCAAGTGCCCAGCAGCGGCATTCCTCACTGGATTTAAGCGTAGCGCGCCACCTCTATGTTCACGAATCATAGTTTTCGGGGTACAACGTCGGCCTGTAGGTACTGCTGGCTAATATCTGACAAACTTATCGAAGCACAAGCAAGGCGGTTACGGAAGATCCGACTGTGGCTTTTTTATCGAAGCCTCTGATGGCTTTGAAATGGTTGCTTTCCAAGGAATGCACTACAAAACGGTTAACAATCATCTTCCAATGTTGGATATTCTTGTCAATTAGGATGGCAAGTATTTCAATTACCCTTGTAAAGTCATGTACACCAAATGAATCAACGAGTCTGGTGTTTGGTTTACTCGTGTTGCTTCGGCGCTCATCGTCTGCCACGGTCTTCGGACTGTGCTTCGCAGTCGACATTCTCCTCTTGAGTCTGTTGCTAAGGGAGGAGGCCGCAGGCAATGGGGAGGGTAGAGCAGAGTCGCAGAAGTCGAAGGCGCATTGGACCCCTCGTCTTCTGGTATCTGTATAAGCTCACATGTTTCTTGCCATCTTTACTGTTGAGGCAGATACAACGCCAAAGTCTGTTCGAGCTTCGACAGAGACAATGGTTTTGTAAGGAAGTCCTCCGCGCCGGCTGCTTTAAACAAGGCCTGAGCTTGAGCACTGACAACGGCGGTCACAGCAATGATAGGTCTTCTCCGTGAAAGTGTTCCAGCTGCTTCCATTGCACGTATCTCCTTTGTTGCTGTGATGCCATCCTTGACAGGCATAGACTGGTCCATCAGTATTGCGTCTATGGTGGCATCGTGCTTCATCATTTGCTCGATAGCTTCCTCGCCATCATCTGCGAGCAAGACTTGATACTTCAAGGCTGTCAACATCTTTTTGCCGAGCTTCTGGTTGATCTAAAGAGGTGCGTCAGTGAAATCTACCAACGACGACATGGCGAGGATCGTCATACCGGGTTGTCTTCGACTAAAAGTATTACTAAATCCTTTGCTGTAGCTTCCTGAGGCTGTTCCTTGTCGTTGCCATCCACGATGTCGACCTGCGGTGCAAATCTGACCGTTCTGGCAAGAGCGGCATTATTAGCGGACTCGCCGGGAGCGGGGATCTGATCAGCGAAAGTGTGCCATAGCAATGGCTTCTGCAAACGGACGAGATGTGGCCTAGATAGTACGCTAGGGGTCTGCTGGAGCGCCTCTTGAGTATCGTATGGCACAAGGACCTGCCACTGATCCTGCTCAAGCAGCTGCTGAAGACAACGCGGGTTTCCTTTCAAGAATGGTAAGTCCGCCCAAACGTACTTCCACTCCGAGCCAGAGAGATCGGAGGAATCGCTGACCCTCACAACCTCAAATCCAAAACTTTCCCAAGCGGTACGCAGCCCTTCAAATGATCGCTCGTTATCCCCATGGAACATTGCGATACAAGGAAGTGCTTCAGTAAGATAGGGTTCTGGATCTGGCGTACTAGACAACGGCGCGGGTATTGTGACGGTGAAAGTACTTCCAGTCTGTCCCGGCCCCACTGACGCTGTATCTGGATGTCTGCTTTCTACTTCGATCGTCCCATGCATTTTGTGCAGCAGCTGTTTGATAATGCTCATTCCTAGTCCGGTTCCTCTTTGCGATCCTCTGGTCGTTGCTTGTTTGAAAGGCTCAAACAATTGGGGCAAAAAGCATGGGGGAATGCCAGTCCCAGTGTCTTTGATCGTGGCAACAAGCTTACCGTTCTCCATTCCTATCAACAACATGATATAGCCAGACCTCGTGAACTTCAAAGCGTTGGAAAGAAGATTCATGAGGATCCGCTGAATATAAGTTTCGTCCAGGAAGAGTGAATGTGGTACGTTCGGAGACACAACAACCATAAGGCTTACATCTGCTTCGTCATCTTTGTTGGGCAGAAGCATTAGGATTGATTCGCAAACGGTTCTCATGTCCAGAGCAACAGGGTGGCAGACGGCCTCGGCATCCTTTTCTAACTTTGACCAATCCAGTACGTTGTTCGTGACTGTGAAATGATCAGTATGAAAGGAACAACAGGGACTTGCTTCCAACGCACTTAAAGAAAGCGTCTTTGTGGCGTGCTGAATCGCGTAAAGAAGTATACGGCCCTCTTCGGTCAACTCAGTTCGGGATAACAAGTCACCGTAACCTGCAAATTTCGGAGTCAGCAAGGATTTCTTGATTAGGTTGGAGGACAGCTTTTGAGTGTGAAACGAGTCTCTCGTACCTTGGAGGTGATGGAGAGGGGTCCTGATCTCGTGGGAAGCCGACGCTATGAAGTCACTTCTAGCGGCGGCGGCAGCTTCTGCATTCTCCTTCTGCGCGATAGTCCTCCATAGTTGCTTCCGTGTCATTACAATCTCTGCCAATTTGTTGCGTGAGATCGTTGCCACATGTGCTAAGAGGAAGTTGGCTGCGATACATGTCGTGATGGCGATACTACCAATGGCAACAGCTAGCGCAGGCGGGTAGCCTCTTTTGGGAGATGGTTCGGCATTTGACCAAAATCTACGCAGAAGTCGGAGTTAGCATTGCTTTTCCAAGGCAAAAACCAAAGCAACAAGATAAGTCTCCAGAGGAGGAAGAGCCATATCCTCCCAAAACATGGCTTGATGACCCGAATCACAGGCCAAGTCTAAAGAGTAGAGGAGCCGGTCACTCTTCAAAGATAACCTGTGTGACCCGACTAGCGCGACAAGTCTAGAAAAAGCCCCTTGCTCCTGTTATCATGGCTTTAAAAGGGCGAGTTTCAAGATCAGAAACAACGCGTCACTCCCAGAACATGGTTTGTGGCTCGTTCCTAATGTTAATTGAGAAGGGTTTACTCCAAAATGTACGTACGTTGCGGCTCGCATTCCTTTAAACGTGTCAACATATTGGCTTTGGATGCGGGTCTAAATACACGTACCAGTAAAGTGCATGGCAGCGACACCGGTGCATGCTACGATTGCGAAGAGGAATTGCTGGGTCAAGTGAGTCTCGATCTGGGACATCAAGATGCATCCGACGAGACAGACGACCCAGCTGATCAGGCCCGACAAAATGACGAGCGGCGGTTCAAGGGTGAAGTCTCCCTGTGGAATACGCAGCGCAGAAATTCCCACATAGTGCATGCTTGTGATGGCCAAGCTCCATAGAAAACCTTTAATGATATTCCTGCGCGTACAACCTGCGTAGAGTGCTTCACCAGTTGCAATGAACGCATTCTTCGCAGGCGATGTGCCTCGGTAGGCAAGATTCATAATGCTGCTGAGTCCATAGGAGCTATAGGTTGATCCCATGAACGAATCGGATCGCCGTGATATTGACTGATCGCTTGGCTCTCTTTGAAACCTTGGGAACCCCGGAAATCCAATCGAACTTTCAGAACTCTCCACGCGTGTTGGAGTTATCCGTTCTGGGCTTTGCGCCGGAAGTTTCGTTGGTGTTCCTCCGGCTGAGCCGTTGAGGTGTAGATCCAAAAACTTGTGTCCTGGGTCACGATAGAGGACCGGTTGGGGAGAAAGAGGTGGAGTCTCGGGCGGTGTGTCGGGATTGAATGTCCCATTTCTGTCTTGTTCGAAGGGATGTGTCGATAGTGGTGGCGATTCTGAATCCTCTGAATCATGATTGTAGCGTTCCTCTTCATATTCTTCTCCTACCTCCTCCTCCTCCTCCTCTTCCTCCTCGATAGGGTGCAAAAGACCTTCGGATGAGGGGTCACGCGCATTCAACTTCGAACGTTTAATGGCGGAACTTTTAGTTCTTTCTCTCCTCAATGCTCGGAAATTTCTCCGTCTGCTTCTCATG